AGTCTAGTTTTGTTTTCTTTTTTTCCTTTTCTTTTTGCAAAACCTACCAGCTACAGATAATTAAAAGTGTTCTTTTCATCTGGAGCTTACGCCTTTATCACATCTGCAGGAGACAAGATCCTATTTGTATCTGGACAGAGATCCCAGGATGCACCAGGACAGAAACATCTGCAGCATCTGGGCTGCTCCTTGTTTACAGCAATGGTTAAGAAAGTTAGTGGAAGAATAAAGCAGACAGAAACAGGCTAAAACTCCTTGGACGCAGTTTATAAAAGATAAATCTGGAGACTGCAGCATGTGTCAAAGCTGTCCTCAATAATTCACGCCGTCCACTTTTTACATGACAGTGTGACCCATTTGGGATGGATGCTTGAGTCGGATAAATATTTTAACGTGCTGAGCAGCGTTTGTCTACTAAATGTGGTACGTTCTGCACATCTGTGTGGGATGGTGCATCTATTCCCAGCTCTGCTACGTCACTGATGTAGTTCTGAATGCATGCAGTCATATTTTACCTGAGAAGAACGTCCAGTGGGAGGAATTAAAAAGTTGAAAAGGTGTTTTTTTGTTTAAAAAGCCTTTATGGTGAAGACTGTTATATAAAACTCAGTGAAGAGATGAAAAATGCCAACAGCCCTTCATGTGTTTGATTATTCGGAGTTCAGTGTTCAGGTCAGTGCTCCACCCAGGTGGCACTGAGCTCTTACCCTCATGGCTTCCTGTATGTGGTCCTGCCTCACCACCTCAGCAGAGCGATCCATGTACCACTTCAGACAGCGGATCAGCTCCCTGAAACACATTTAAAAAGCCACACAGGGTTGATTCTCTGCACTGGAAGGAGTGCAAACGTAGCATTACTTTAATAAAGCACCCGTTCAGCCCAGGATGGCTCTGTAAATAAATGCTTAGATTTTCCTTTTGTTGTGATAGTCGCAGCACTCTGCAGGACCAAACATGTACGGAAATACATCACAAAGACCTGAAAAACTAAAATTTGTGCAGTTATAATAACTATATGTGTCTTTTTTTATTTTCTGCCAGTCGACCCGAGATCGAGATCTTTGTTTCATCCTCTATAAAATATTTAGTCAGTGCAAAACTAATTTTCAGACTCTTACTAAAAGCAAAACTTCTCATGTAATATATCTGGATGAGGTCAAAGTTAAATGAGCATGAAAAGCATGCAATCCTACGCCAGTTTTCCATACTGTATTTATCTCTGATGCCCTTGAGCCACCGTGATGAAATAAATCCAGGAGAAGTCAAACTGCAATAAAGGCAAACGACGTGTACACGAATATACAATCACACTTTAATCAATCAGGCTGTTAGTTAGAGAGCAACACTCACTTGTAAGCTAACGCTCCAGCAAAGTGCTTCTGGATGTAAGTGTCCATCACCGGCCTGAAGTGGTAGTATTTACTGTCCCTGAGCAGGTTTATAATGAACACCTGTGAGACAGAGACTGTGATCAGTGAGTGTGATGCTTGAGTGACGCTTAAATGCACAGAAAATGAATCATAATTTACAGTCGCAGTGAAAAAAGTACGGCCTCTTTCAAAGCGAAGGGTTTAGCTATAAAGAGATTTAAAAAGGAAATGGTGCTACTAGCCCTCATGTTTGGAGCAGTTAAATAGAAGCTCAGAGGAACCTGAACACATAGCATTTTATACCATGTCATTACTTATGAAACACAAACTGAGCCACAGTGCAGAGGCAGTGTGTGAAAGTCTATCACACGATGCAGCAATGACTTCATCTCTCTCATCGTCATCGACAGTCTGCTGCTGTGCTTGGGATCATTGTCCTGCTGAAGCTTCTGACTGGACAGAGCTTTTCATACGTTGTTGTTCAGCTCGTATTTACAGATGTGCAGGCACCAGGTTATTGTTTATATTTTAGTGCTTTCTTTGTGATCATGTGATCATGACCCCACAGTATTTTATTTTCCTGTTACAGCGTAACCTTCTTTCATCACCCACCCACATTTTCCAAATTTAACTGTAACTCTTATTCCTGTTGCACAGTCATACTGAAATTAGAGTAAAAAAAATGACAGAATAAAAAGTCTTTCAGCTTTCAGGGTTTAGGGTGTGTCAGAGCTCCTGTTTCCAGTAACTCAGAGGATGACATCAGTGGGACTGAAACTGACAGTTAGCCTCATCTGTATTAGATTGTTTCTTCTGCAAGTCTCTAAATCCTCATTATTAAATTTAATGAAACTCATTATTTGTTACTTTTGTTTGTTTACTTTATTTTCTCCTTCTTCGTGCACTGCCCACGCCACACTCACCAATGACTGAAAAACCAGCGGCCCATATTTGTCTGTGTTGTCATCCAAGATGGAGAACAAGGTGTCCAGAATGTCCTGAAGAAACTGACACACACACACACACACACACACACACACACACACACACACACACACACACACACACACACACACACACACACACACACGTCTTCAGTTTAGTAAACAGCTGCTGAAAGTCCTGCTGAGGAAAATGGCTTACATAATGGCGGAAAGAAATTTTCCGTTATTAGTTATTTATGAACACCACATGACAATTTTTAAAGAATCAAACCTTTTCATGGTATCCTCCCAGTTGCTGGTTGTCTACAAGCTAATGTTAATGGGACCACAGGAGTATTACAACACCTGTAGAGCTCTTTTAACACATGCTTTAAAAAATCACCTCAAACCACCTCAGAGATCACCAACAAACACGTCCTGCCCAGCAACATGGCAAATGTCTTACACAGCAAATCTGGCACAGCTACAGAATATTATGATGATCCACGATACAAGTGTTTACACATATTAAACAGAACAATCTCCCCACCTGTTCGACTTCAAACCTCACCTTGACGATCTCTTCTCCGCTGACATGCCGAAGCCGTCCAAGGATGTCCATGACCCGGTCGGGATGGGCCTTCCACTTCAGCAGGGCCAAGAGGTCCACTGGAAGACAACAGGAATGTCAAACACCAGGAAAACAACGGAAAAAGGCTCATATTCAGACTTCAGCCTGTGAGCAGCAAAACAGCCGTTTAATATGTACAACGGAGTAAAAACTGTCATAAATGAGGAAGCCACTGTTAGCGCAGCACAACGGCTGAAAGCAGGTGTCTGTATGCCAGAACCATAATAGATGGTGACAGTTTTTCCTCACTTTAATGCTGTCACCTCAAGCTGCTTTATGTCAGGTTACGACTACAATATCAGAAAGAAACGCCAACAATCATACGAGCCCGTATATGCAAACACTTGGTGACAGTGGAATTAAAAACACCTTTTTCTGTGTAACAGTCTGAAATTCTCACGTGTAATCGTGCATATTTAAGCACATTATCCACGAGCGGCTCAAACGCCGGCTGCAGATCAGCTGCGTACCGTTCTGGGTGAGCTTGGTGGAGGAGAGCTGTGTGGAAATCCAGAAGGTCTCTTTCATGCTGCGCTGGAAAATGAGGCTGGAGGGGATGTTGGGACAGCTGTTGAAGTCCTCCTTACAGCAGGGCAGCCCCAGGTAGAGGGCGTGGTTACTGAAGGTCGTGTTTTCATCACACTGAGGACACGAGACACCGAGAAGGAGGAAAATAAGGAAGGAAAAAGTGATTCAAACAGATCTGTGCACCTCATTGACAAAGTGTAGCTGCAAAACTGAGTCAAAAGCTGCAAACATGAAGCTTGTGTGTGAACACTGTACAGCAGGAGTGTCCAACTCCAGGCCTCGGGGGCCGGCAGGTTTTAGATGTGTCCTTGATCCAGCACAGCTGATTTAAATGGTTAAATCACCCCTTCAACACGTCTTGAAGTTCTCCAGAGGCCTGTTAATGAACTAATCGTCTGATTCAGGTGTGTTGACCTAGGGTGAGATCTAAAACCTGCAGGACACGGCCCTGAGGCCTGGAGTTGGACACTCCTGCTGTACAGTTTTGGTGAGCAACAGTAAAGGTGTTGTGGATATCATGTACAAAGTGTACACAACATTTAAAGTGAACTTTATAGTTATACTGTGAGATTACTGAAGTACAGTTCACATATATACTAACTAAATATTGTCATTTCTGCTGCAATCATCAGCCAACAGAAAGACTCCTCTGCAGAATAAATGACGAACGTGTGATGAAGGCTGATGAGTAGCAGCCAGGAAACAGAAAAGCTCTAGTGTAGCTGACCTTGTAGACATACAGCTCGTGGCTCTCATCAGAGAGAGTAGTTCCATCCTCTCTCATTAGAGGTGTGAAGGCAAAACCAAACAGCTTTTTCTCCCCTTTGTCCTTTGCTGCAGAGAAAATGACGAAGAAGGAACATGTGAGAGGAGAAACGCACCGAGTGTTCGGTCAAAAAGCACCGAGGTTAAATGTCTCTCAGATTATTAGAGATGTATTCAGAAAACCAGTTCATTACTTCACTATTGTAGACAAAGTGATACAGCCTGCATATAAGAAGGTCAAAGAGTAACTTGGTTATGCTTTTAATGTTATATTTAGATATATTTTCTATAAATGTCACCACCTGCTTGAAGCAGCACCTAATCAGTCTGGGAGGATTATAGTGAGCAGCCAGCTGCTGCATCTGCATGCCAAGAAATGCAGATGCACCTGTCATCTTATTACACGGTTCTGGGTTTTATTTTTACAATAAGCCTGTGCTTGGATCCTCATTTATTTTCTCCACACGGATCATCCCATTAGCCATGACAGCCCCAGTATTAACACAAGTAACACACTCACTGGAGCAGTGTCTGAACTCGAAGCGCAGGTGGGACCCTCTGAAACGGTCGATGGGAATCGGCAGTTTGATCACCTCGCTCCATCGCGGGCTGTTGTTATGGTAGAGCACAAAGGAGCGGTGCTCTGGCACGTTGGGCTCACCTGAACCCAGACTGATGCAGTCCTACGGAGCATGTGCAGAAGCAGACAAACAATGAGATCAGTGACACTGCAGTAACACTTGGAGAAACTGTGGACCAGAGCGGCCCCAACAGCCGTGACGCACCAACACCTGGGCCAGCTGAGCACACAACACATTTGAGTGATACTCAAAGGTCAACTGAAAGGGGTCCTTCAGGTAAGTGAAGTCAAGGAGTGGAAACGTATTTGAATGGGAACCTTTAAGAAAGGTGTGATAGGCTGGCTTGTTTTTGGTGGAAAAGTTGGAAGTTAAATGATAACATTTATGAAAAACACTGAAGCATGAACTTGTTTATTTCTACAGACTCATTCCAACGTGAACCTCAAACTGCAGAGCCTGTAAGTTTGAGCCAGTGTGGAGAAACATCGGACAAAGGTGCCACCAACGAGACAAACACAAACATCACTCAGAAGTCGGCTGGTTAGTGATGCGATTACTCTGATCAACTGCATTCAAATTTAATTTATTTTTTTTTTAAATTTTGGCAGAACAGCAGTTTTCTCTGTTTTTGACTCAGGCTGTTCAGACTATTGATCATCTGCTAATGAGCTTTTCAATAAGCTCACCTCAGTTCCTGATCACACATCTCTGAAATCTCATCGTCAGCACAGAGAAATGCATTTACTGTCACTGAGAGTGGGTCCAACACTCCACTTGTGCCTTTGTTGGCTCAGCTGTTTCTGACACAACTCTTCTGTAGTGATCAGTTCAGTCAGATTCATCGTAACATGTAAGAAACGTGTCGCAGGCTATGAAGATTATATCTAATTCAAATAGACGGCCTTTCAGCCTGCCTGCATACTTTAAAAAAGGCTTTAGTTTCACACTGTCAGGTCATATCAGTGCACTGAGCTCATCATATGTTCTTAAGTGACGATGAAGAACATCTAATGTTGAACCAGTTCTTTCATTTCTGCAGGGAAACTAAAACATCTGAAAACTCAAGAAAAGCCAGGAGCAGAACGTGCCAAGGAAATAGGATCTAACGGAGAGATAAAGTTAGACGTAGAGCTGGACAGCAGGGACTGATGGAGATGTGAACCACTGTCTTACATTCAGTCTGTGCAAAAGTCATGAGCCAGCACTCATATTTGATGTAAAATTTGTACAGGAATTATTTAGAACATAAATTCTATTTTTTTGGGAATCACCAGAAAAAATACCAAGCAGTGGTTAGCACTGTTGCCTCACAGCAGGAAGGTTCCTGGGTTTGAATCCATCATGTGGTCTACGCAGGTTCTTTTGTGCCCTTTCCTCACAGTATTTTAAATATTTGGGAGTTATAATACATAAGGATCTCACAGAACTATTAGAAAGAAATTATTCACCAATACAAAAGAAAATCGAGGAAGATATAGCGAGATGGAATTTAATCTAACCTAAGTTTATATTTGAGAATAGATTGGAATAAAATGAATATACTACCCAAATTATTATATTTATTTCAAACATTACCAATAGAAATAAGCCAGAAACAATTTAATCAATGGGACAAAATGTTGTCAGACACATATGACAAGGTAAAAGGCTCCAAATTAGATATAAAACCTTAAAGTTCGCTAAAATAAGGGGGGGGGCTTCCTTCTCTCTAGGATTATTATTGGGCAGCACAGTGAAGGCGGATGACATGTTGGTGTAATCCTTCATACGATGCTCAGTGGAGGGTCTGACCTCCATCCACATACAAGCTGTTATAGCAGACAGTAGCCTGCAAGATGTTATAGACACTATTGAAAATACACAGTTATTACAGACAGTCGTATGCTGGCATTGGGCAGTTTCACCTCTGTTAATCATCTGTAAGTAATATTGTTTGTTATCACTGAGACTACTTGTGTGCAGTGTTGGTCAAGTAACTAATTACTGATTACTTCCCCAAAAAGTAATCCGGTTACTTTACTGATTACTTATTTTCAAAAGTAATTAATCACTTAGTTACTTAGTTACTTTTTAAAAACACGATTTACAACCTGAAGAGGTGATAAAGCGATAGATCTTTCAGCCCAATTCTACTTTTTCTACATAATCCATCATACAAAATGTAATCAGATGGAAAAGTCTCTTTTTAAAACTTGTTTTATTAGTTTTAATCTTTTGACTTTATGCATCAAGCAAACATTTAATTATATGCAACATTCTCTGACTTGAATAAATTAGTTTAACATTTAAACCTGTTTTCTGCACATTCCAGCACATAAAATATTTTGTGTGTTTACACTCAGTCTTTCAAATAGATGCAAGTGAAACACAGCAGAAAATAAATAAAATCAAAGACTCAGCGGTCCTTTTGCTCTATTTTCACCTGTAAAGCAGGCGGATGTTTGCCCTGGTGTTTTACTGCTTTAAAGTGTTTTAGTTTCTTTATATGAGGTTTGAACCTACAGGGGGCAGCAGGTACCCAAGAAATCATGAGACCGGCACAGAAACTAAAAGCATGTACTGAAGTGTGCACGGTCAACAACGTGGATTTCACACACATAAAAGAGCTGATAGTGGATTATACTGCTCATTTATTCTAACTTACAACATTTTCACTACTTTACTCTTACAGTCCAATAAAACAGGTCATTTCATCTCCAAAAAACATTGAAGTGGTTCATCTGCTGCAGCTGTTACTTAGTGTGTTTTAATGTGACTTTGGTGTTTTCATTGTTTGCTAATTCTACTCTAAACTTGAACTAAACCATCAAAACACCAGAAACATGTTTGCTGTGAGCTACAAATTCTCTGCTGCCTTTAAAGAAACTTACTGCTATAAACCAGCCTAAAGTTTAACATTAGGCACAACTTCAAACTGATGAAAGACTTGTTTTTTTTTGTTAGAAGAAGAAAGATGCTGAACGTCTGTTTATATTATGTGTCACTAACTGGACAAAAGAAGGCTTTTTACAGCAGGAACGTTTCCCTACCTTGAGGATTTCTCCGTCGGCGTAAAGCACATATATGGTCACCTCGATGTTCTTCTGAACGCTTTTCCCTCCCCTCTCAAAATCTCCTCGCTCCAGTGTCAGGTACAGGTCGTTACGGATGTCACCTGGACCAGCAGAGACATGTTAATGCAGACTAATATGTGTCAAACACCAGCGCACATGGTTGTTTTATTTGTAAAGATGCAACAAAGATGCAAACGTCCGTAATCTCAAAGCAGGCGCGGTGTGTCGCACACATTTTAAGCTGACACACATAAGACTAACGACCTGTGTGGACGTGTGCGGACTCATTTATCACTCCCCGCTCGTCCTCATAGAGGAGGTGTCACCTTTAATGTATAAAGATGGGAGTTAAACACTCACTCCATCACTGCCTGAGGGGAGCAGTGGTTAATGTGTGTGAAAGACACTGGTGCCTGTGGGATGTGCAGCCCTGCTGTTTTCTTCCTGTTTGCTGTAGAGGGAAGCTTAATGTAAGCGTTCATTTGTTTACCTGTTAAGCTCATCATCATTAAGAGTATTCACCAATGAGAGCAGCACAGCAGGTTCATGAGCTGGACTATGAAGCTGCTCGACTCGTGTCCTTTATTTCTAAAGGCGAAAGTTAAATACAAAGCAAACGATTGGCTTGCAGGGCTGCTACAAAAGGACCTGATGTGGTAAAGATGAATCTATGGTAATGATGATGTATTCAAAGCACTTCTTGTAATTATGTAAAGATTAACTCCTGACAGCTGGCACGACGGGGTAAAAGCTTTGAATAATTTCTGTAGCAGGCTGTAAGAATGTTTATTTCCTGCTGTAAAGTTAACAGGAAGTCTAAGGGACTGACTTGCTTTTAGAGGAACTGCAGTTTTTTGCCCTCAGCTTCATTTTTCAGCCCTGTCTATTGAAGAGCAACAGACATTTCTGCAGCTCTAAAACATGGCAGCTCGCATCATAACTACCTCACCGGACAAGCAGCACCACAGACCAGAGGAGAAATTATATTTGGGGCTGAATTGTGCCTCTAAGAAAGCCTCTCTTGTCAAGCACATAAATGCGGGATGTTGAATATTTTCTGAGGTCACATATTTTACAGGCTGCATAAATGAATTAACAGGAGACTGTGGAGATCATAGCACTTTAGCTTCAGCAGCATCAGTGTTTGGTATTTCTGCTAAATCTAAAAAGTAAGCCTGAATGTGGGACAGGTAAGGTTTCTTTAACTGAATGAAGCTGCAAGCAGTGGATACAAAAAGTAAACAGTGAGATGCTTTTTGTATGTAAATCCAGCTGCTGCCTGGATGTGATATCAGCCTGCTGCAGCATTCACACACAAACACACACTTGTCCATCTTTGTGGTTTCTTTATCAGGCTGCAGCCAGTTGGAAAAACGAGGCATAAAACCTAAAATCCAGATATGGAAATAAAAGTTTTCTCAAACATAAAAATGTAAAATCTTTGTGTCAGCTGCAAATTTATGAGAGAAAACTTAAGGAACTATAATATTTTACTTTTCAAAGTGAAGTTGGAAACAAATTCACATATTTAAACTCCACAGTGCACCAAGAAAACCTCCAACATGGTCTAAAGAAGTCTATGAGTCCCTCACAGTGAGACATCACGATATATTTTTTATTTTCATTTGTTTTGCTTTCTCTAAGATTTATCAAACATTTGCCATTTTTATTTTCTTTTGCCAGATTTTTCTGCCCCCTGGTTCTTACTTCCTCCAGAAGCTGCTGCACTGTGTGTACATCTGCTCACAGCGCCACAGCAATGATTTCTAAAGGTCTGATTAACACTCGACATTTTCATGTTCTGTTCAACAACACGATCACTACTTTATTGTGGTGGAGATTTTTATATATATATATATATATATATATATCATTTGAATCACTCTTTGTCTGGTTCCTCACCAGGACCAGATAGTTTGAGCTCCAGTCTCCTGCAGAGGGGCTGGACTAAATGATGTCATCCTCTGGGGCAGATAAGAGCTAAGACTGATAAATAAATGAGCGTGCATGCCTAACACGTCTCTGACAGCAGGCAGTGCACTTGTTGAGAAGATTGAATTATCTTTTACACACCGACAGAAACAGCTGGGAAGCTGTACAACAAGACATTAAATCATCAAAGTGACTTAAGCTAAGTACTGCTGAAAGAGATTTCCACACTTATGAAAAATACATCTGTGGACTTAAATATCTACAAGCCTGTAACTCAGTTTATTGGGTTATTAAATAATAACACATTTACAGCTTTGAAGGTCTTCACAAACATTTTAACATATTACAGGAGGAGAAGCTCCACTGTAATTAAAATGAAGTCAGTGGAGAGATGCAAACTGACACATTCGGTCTCCCTGTAATGGATTTATAGCTCTCAGAAGAGGAAGCTAACACAGGAATATCACAAAGCGGGTCCAATTCTGGGAAACTGTTTACTTCGACCAGTGCTTTGGAGACGTTCCTGCTGGAAAAACCAGATTCACTCCTTTGTTGCTCCCATGTAGGAATCTAAATTAAGCAGCAGCCCGGCAGGAGCGCAGATCAGCTTCTGTGGTTCTGTCCATCTGTCCAGCCTTGAAGTCACTTGTTTATTTTCAGGGATCCTGGACCTCAAATCTAAATTCTCTTTCTTTGTTTGGAACTTGGACATTGATCCAAAGGCCTCTTTGAAAGCCAAACAAAGCTTTTGAAGATTTTTATAGCTGCAAGAAATAAAACTGTTTACAAAATGCCTGCTCGAGAAGAACACCTGCAACACTGCACCTTTTCTCTGTGCTTCAGCTCAACAGGTACGTGTTTTTGCTCCCTTCTTCAAAAGCAGAAGGTAGAGATGTACAAAACCCGCCCAGACATTCAGCACTTTTTCTATTCCTGTCTGACCCATTTACATGATTCAAACCTGAATTGTTGTTTTTATTTATTTTACGTGTTATTCACGGAGCCCATCTCTGCTGTGTGCTTACGTAAACTAAGAATAGAAGTGTTGAGGTGGACAGCCCGCTGCGCTGCGATGGGTAGGCCTGCATGAAGCTGGATATGTGACTCACCGGGCATGATGACATCTGGGAATCCCAGTTTGCGTGTGATGGCCACCCCCCTGCTGAAAATGAGCGGGTTTTCTCTGCGGACCTGCTCCATGTCGCCCCTCAGCAGCTGCAGGGAGATGATCAGCCCTGCAGGATGTGAAGGGGAAGAAATGGGAACGAGTGGGTTGACAGAAAAAGAAGATGGGTAGAGAGATGGATGAAAAGCAAAGGAAGAAGACAGAACAAAGTGTCCTATTTAAAAAGCACAGCCTTTAGGCCACACATAAAATTCAGATAAACTTAAAGTCTAAACAGAGTTTTGAAGCTGCAGAGCTCGTTTGATCTCCCCAGAATCAGAACAAACATTTCAATGCATGCTAAACGTTGCCAAACTGCTTTTCCAGCAGACTCTCAGCCTGTTAGTCTGGGTTCATCTCTTCACCTGAAAACGAAAGTTTGCTGCTGGATTATGTTTTTTTAAAGACACATATCTGTGCGGGGTCATGGAGTTCACAGACTTTAACACTGGGGCAGAGGAGAGTCCTCTACAGTGACACCAATTAATATGATTTTCCCGCTGATGTCAGTGTGATGACTTGCATGTGTCAGTCAGACGCTCTAAATAAGTTGCTCCTGGGAACTCTTTTTTGTTCAGTGTTCCTGAAATGTCGGCTGACTCATCAGCAATGAAATAAAACGAGTCACAAGTGCTGCAGGACTAGAATCTGCTCCTGCCCTCTGTGCTTTGACAGAAGTAATAAAGTGACTGGAAGAAACGGTCCACACAGAACATCAGCGGGCTGGAGCAATAACTGAGTGCTAGAAATTGCCTCCACCCTCGGCTGCTGTGTTCACAAAAACACCACCGCACTGCTAATGTTGCAGGGTAACCCTGCAAGGATAACGCATCTGCTTCTGGGTTTTGTGGCCAAAATAATTCACCAGGACAAAAAATCCAGTAGAATAAAAAAAATATACTTTTAGGACAATAAATTGTGCTCCGATATACGTGTAGCAAGCCTGCTGTGTTGTTTGGGTGTTGATTGCTAACCTTTATGCCTCCTCTCTTACCATAGCTGGGTTGCCCGTCATTTCCAGTGGAGTGAGGGCACAGCTGGCTGCACTCAGCGATCAACCAGGCCTACAGTGTAAGAGCTGGGGAGGAGAGCAGCTCAGTCTCCCTATGGGCCAGACGTACAGTAGCCTTAGCCGTGTGTTGTGTTTTAATTATGTCAAGCTCCCAGTGAGTAACTGTGACCTCCTGTTTGCAGAGTGGGTTTTTCTTCTTTTGTGTTGTTGAGGTGCAGATTCTTCATTTTTATTTCCAATCTCCCAACATTATCTGTTTGCTGATGCTTTTCTTTTATTTCTGGATTATTTAGGGCGTAGAGGCGAAGTTAGAGCTTTTAATAAAATCAGGATTGAGTTTGTAATCTTTTCACCTTTTCTTTCACATGGATACTCTACTGTTACTCCCTCATCCTGTAGGCCAGCGGTCCCCACAGACCGGTTTATACCTGACAATATTTTCACAGACCGGCCATTAAGGTGTCATAAATACAAAATAAAACCAGTATACCAAAAAAGAAGATTTATTCATTACACGGGAAAGTCCGAAGGAAACCAAGTTAACGCTAAAAACTGATAAAAACCCAGAAAACCATACACTTCACCCCCGAGCCTCCACTCTCGCAGCCCGGTACCAAACAACTGGCCTGGAGGTTGGGAACCGCTGCTCTACTGTTACTCCCCTCATCCTGTAGCCCGTTTCAGGGCTTGTTCGGGATTCAGAACCAGAAAAGTTTGCATGAAAGAAAGTGGAGATCTTTGAGATATTAACAAGTTATTTATTCTTAAATGTAACTATGAGCTTCAGTATTTGTATTTAGCATAAATCAGAGATGTGCTCTTTATCCCACACTCAGTTTGTTGGGGTCCGATCATCCAAACTCAGGGTACACAAACACGTGGTCTCTCCTACCGTAGTTGGTGCTGGGTGCCGTGTATTTGGTGCTGGACTTGCGGATGATGTTCTCATGGATCTGGTACCATTCATTCTCATTGTTACACCTGGAGAGCAACAAAAAACAATCATGTCCTATAAAGGATAACAATATATTTGTAACTTGTGTTTTTATACAACAAAAGTTCGGTTGGATATAATGGACTTTTGAAATCTAGTTATTTTGCCAGTTACTTTGGGGCGTACGTGCCATCAATCATTGCAATTAAAATATAAAATTGGGGCGTGGTCTACGGGTGGATGCTGGGGTGGTGAGGTGAATGACAGGTAGCAAGGCAGAGCAGCAGCGCTGACATGTCAGAGGAAGTGAGGGGAAATTTTGGAGTTAAATACACGGATAAATTGGAGCAGGTCTTTCTTCCATGTCTTCGTTGGTCTCTACAGCAGATCAGCTGTCTCCATCTCTCCCTCTCTGTTGTCTGTTCTCCTGTCGCACCAAACATCTGTCCTCTGAATCTTCTCTTCTTCTGCATGGAGCTCGAACTTCATCATATTCATTTCAAATCCCTTCCATCCTGCTCACTCCCAGTGTGGATCTTAATATCTTCAGCCGGGCCTCCTGTCTCTTTGTCGGTGTCATCATCTCCAAACGACACACGGCAGCAGGTTCACTCCCATCTTGTAGGCTTCCCTTTCACTCCTGCTGCTACTCCAAAAATGCAACAAAACATTTGTCTGTGTGCAGATCATCTTCACCCGGGCTTCATCGCTGGTATCTTGACAAACCCACTCTCCATTTCGAGTGCTGACCTGCCGCATTTTTGTGCAAACGCATCTTTGGTTCTGTGGTTTTGTTGGAAAATGTAACATCTCTGTTTGTATTGCACACTTCTGTGCACTAGAGAGTGCTGCTCTCGGCCAAATCATACATTTTATTTATTTTTTTGTTTCATAAAGGGAAAACAGTTTTTAGATTAGACCAAAGGTCAGATTAAACACCCGTTAATGGCATCTTTGAGCCATTTAGAGGCCAGGAAATTGCATTTTCACAGTTTTACAGATCGACTGATTAATCAAGGAAACAACAGGAGGAAAGAGAAAAAGAGCAGTAACTAGCAGACCTATTTGCAGATAATACAGTGGATGAGCCACGCTGTGTCAAGCTGCTGGATTTTTGTATTAACATAAAACAGCCCCATCCAATAAAACAACTCGCTCGTTCCACTCTTAATTTACTCGTCTTTCTTCAGAGTGAACGTGTGGATCTACATTTTCCTCGGCTGATTCTAACAAACTGATGATTTCGGTCCCGTTAACGTCACACGATGCTGGAACACAAGCCTGAAAAGGAGACGTCTAACCCCCCGTGAACCGACCCGAGCAGTTCAGCTAAGACTGAGGCATCAAACACACACACACACACACACACACACACACACACACACACACACACACACACACACACAGATCCTGCAGGCACGTTTTAGAGGTTCAGCTGAGGGATAGTCCCTAATGCCGAGCATCGACTTTGCGTGTGAGTGAAAGAACAGCTGCTGACGTCACAAACTGCACTGACAGTGAGGCTGTGCAGCCGCTCTCGGTCTCTCTTACAAATAAGGAAAGGAGAGAAAAAGAAGAGGCTGGTGGTGACAGAGCGATAAGAACAGAAGTAAAGCTATAATAAAAATATATGGCATGCCCCACTCTTTACTGTCTCTCCAGCTCGCTTATCTTTAACCTTCTCCTCTTTCTCTCTCTGACCTTTTCTCTCAGCCCAGAAATATTTGGAGTAGGACAAAATGATTTTCCAAAAAGAAAATATCATCTCTGAGCTCTGGGTGTGTTGAGTTTGTGCTGTAAGCTGATATTTTTGGGCACTTTTGCTATTTTAGTTCACTCAAACATACAGTAATATGATAAATATGGATTTAAAACAAAGACTTTTAGCTTTAATATCAGGACTTTACCAAAAAAACAACAGTCCACTTATTTCGAGGGTCACATGTACCCGGACATATCAGCATAATCGTAACAAAATATTTAAAAAGTAAACATTTTGTTTACTTTTTAATATTTTATTAAGAACCCCTTACAGGTACCGACCTTCTCCAGCCCAAACTCATTACGAGTGAGTGTTTCCTCCTTTGTAACTCTGCCAGCTTCTGACTGCAGCTGTGTTTCCTGCCTTTAGTTTCTCCTCTGTAAACGAAATGCTGGCAGGTTTGAGATCAGCTGATTCTTTACCTTCCTAAACCCGGGGTTGCATTTGCAATTTTTTTACTTGGGTCATTGTCCATCTGTCCAATGAAGTCCCAGCAACTAAACCTGAGATCTGTACACTTCATTTAGGATTCATATGTCTGCTTATGTCAACACCAGCGACTCATATCTGTGTCACTGCTTCACCACAGGTTCGAGTCCTGTGCTGTGAGTCTAATCAGGCCATTACTTGCGGTGAACCCTCAGTATTTTTCTCTTGCCTCGTTATCTGCGAGTGCAGACACTTACGTGTACACTTTAAGGACAAAATCTTTCTCCTCTTTGAGCTCTGAGATGGTCTGCAGCACGTCGCTCATGGCCAGGACCGCACAGCCATACGGTCGACGGTACTGGACGTGCGGAGGACCCTTCTTACTGTCATTCAGCAGCATTCGACCTGTAACCAGAAGCGTGTGCGTCACATAATGAGAAAGGCTCCTGTTCCATTCATACGACAGCATTCATTTCTTTCTATTTTAATCTGAATGGTATTTCAGGTTAATAAAGGTGCACATTATAAACTTGACAAAGTTATTCTGTTATTTCAGGCATTTCTGCAGGAATTGTTTCCACCTACATAACATAACTTACCTGTCCTGATAACTTGTGAGACAATATAGAGATCTCTCTTCATGTCTTTGTTACTCAGATCCTGTGAGAAAAAGAAAAAAGTATTATCATCATCATCATCATCATCCACCAGCTTCAGCTTTTCTTACAATTAAAGAAGGTTTGTGCTCTGAGTTTCTGTTCGTAACGTTTATGGACAGAACTCCGATGTGGAGCCAGGAGCTCCTGGATCACATCTTTTTGCTGTTTTTTGCAGATGATGGTGCTGCTGGTCCAGTCAGAGGTGATCTCCAGCTCCAGCTGGGGAGGTTTTGCAGCCAAATGCAACACAGTTGGAATGATAATTAACACTTCCACCTTGAGGCGCTGCTTCTCAGCAGGAAAATCGTGGTTTCTAAACACTCCAGGAGAGGAATGATTTCCTGCCCAAGTTAAGAAGCTCAAGTTTCTCTGGATCTTGTTCATGAGTTGAGGAAGATTGGAGCAGGAGACTGCCAGACAAACTGATGTGGATGCTGTACCACTCACTGAGCGGGTAGTGAAGTTGTTATCGGTCGGTCCTATGTTTCTCACTTATGGCTCCCGAGCTAAGATAAGGCTTCAGAGGAAATTAGCTTCTGACTGGGCTCAGCTTCAGAGATATTTAGTTTGAGGAGCTTCATGAAAATTAGCCAGTTGTCCTGGTTTGCTGGGTTTGGGAAGGCCCTGGAAGAGCTGGAGGAGGTGGCCCAGGGAGACAGGAGGACTAAGAAGCTCTGCTTAGACTGCTGCATCAGTGGATTGTTTTTATTACTTTTATAAATATGTGTGTAATTTAGACATATATGGACTGATTCCAGCTCGGGTTGAACAAGAACGCTCAGATTTAACCAGCTTAATCATTTAAGCACGTCTGTTTCATCTCCCCTGTGACTTACATGTAAATCATGCATTCACCTTATAATACTGACTTCAATTGAGTTTTTGTAATTACTGAAGAATTCAAATAACTGCATCAGTGAACGTTGGAGCTTTAGTGCAGCAAAAATGATCAAACGATCTGCAGACTGATTTCTGCTGCAGAGCAACAGGGGGCAATGCTTCCTCACTTTTAGATCCTCAGTTTTTCACTGTTCCCTTCTTAAATTACACGAAACACCATCACTGCACCACGAGTTTCATTAAACGTGTGTGTGTGTGTGTGTGTGTGTGTGTGTGTGTGTGTGTGTGTGTGTGTGTGTGTGTGTGTGTTGTTACCGTGAAGAGGGCACACAGCCGGTCCACCTTCTCTGGATTCTTTGGACCTCCGTTCTTGTTCAGTCTCACCATGAACTTCTCACTGAAACAACACAATCAACGGCCACTTTGGTTAGTTTTAGTAAAAACGATTTCTTTCAGTGAGATCAGGTCGTCACCGCCTCTGTGCTGCTTTATCGCTGATATTTGACCTGAGAAAAGGAGATACGGGAAACAGTGTGTGGCGTCTCTCTCTCTCTTTATTCACAGACTCTGCCAGATGGCTTTATCTGGCAGAGTCTGTGAATAAAAACTTAAAAAACTTCTGTTTTTTTTAAATGTTCCTCATATCAGCCACATGTCAACTGCACACGCTGCTCAAGCCTGAGGTTGAGAAGCTCTAACCGCTGGCAATTTACCCCCGGGCCCTCTCTCCGTCTCCTCGAGGGATTTCTGAAAGAGATAAAAATTCTTTTGGATTTCTGCTCAAGCCTTTTCCCCGCGAGTACCAGCAGTGAGGAAACTCTAAAGCAGCATGTCTCAGCCTTTTCGCTTCAGGGAACAGCAAAGTATTGTCTGCTGGTGTCAGCGACTCTGTTCTTTTAACCCATATTTATCCAGGGAAACGCGACGGAGCTGACGGGCCTTTGTTCAGCCACGTCGTGCCTCAGACACATTAGAAGATTTCTCAAATCATAAGTACGTCTGACAGGAGCGAGCCGCACATAAATCCACTGATACTCGCTGACTTACTGTCGTGTTCTTCTTGATGCCCGTCAGTCTTAAAGCAGGCAGGTCTTACATCACGCGAGGTCGCCTCAGGCCAGATGCCAGAAAATCGAGATGCGGAGGCACAAAACGGGAATCCAGATCGGGAATGATATTTCGACATCAATCAACAATATCAATATACAAATATTAGCTGACAGGGATATTCAGCCTTATATATTTGAGTGTTAAGCACAAACTAAAGTGAGTTTTTGGCTCACAGCGATTATTTGTACATCGGCGATCCTCATCAATGAAGGATCCACAGTCGTAAGAACGTCTTTATGACAGAAACGAGGAAACAGTTTTATCTTATGAGCTTCATGAACAGCCCCAGAGTCTGTAATGAACTGAGAGTTACATTTAAAAGGATGTTAGATAATTAGATACGAGTCAACATATCCCTACCACAGTCATGCCTGTTTAGGAAAATGATAAACGAGTGACCAAGGTTATATTTTAGCTTCTGATATTTTTACAGCACAGCAGAGAAGTCTGAGTTGGGATGCCTCCAACAAAACGGTCCGGCTCTTCGACTGCCAGCCAGAAAATCTCAATCCACGATCTTCTCCTGGTGGAGTTTCTGAACTGGGTTCAGTCAGCGAAATCCTTTTTTTCTGCCTTCAAAAACTGCTTGAGCAGCTGCCACTTCTGAGAGCACTTACCCACCTAATGAGCCCTTCATCTCTCCATCACCATCCGCTGCACTTCTCTGTATTTCCCATTTGCTTCATGCGCCTACAGACTTATGGGCATGAAAGACGGAGCAGCGAGGGCCTGATTTTCTCTGTCTGTTCCTTTATCTGCTCAAGTTCGGTTTGTACCTCAATTTTACAATGCATAGGACAAAAGTTTCCAAATTAATAAGTGTAAGAAGTAGAAGAGCGATGGAGAACGTGTTCTTCATTCTTCTGGACAAGACCGAGCTGAGAAAAATCAGGACGAACGCTCTGACAGTCAGTCCTGGGCAAAAGGGTTTATGAGACAATGCATTAGAGTATTATCTACTCTCATTTTATTAGTTTTTCAACTGAAGCCATCACTTCGTTAGCACTGTTAAGTAAATCCCTTCCCTGTTTAATATGTTGCCTCCATTCCTGGCTCCTTTTCTTTAGACAACAGAAGAATGAAAGCAGCGATTCTCAGTGAGTCAGTCTCTCTCTGAGCTGCACTAGTAGAATATTTGCAGTCCTGCGTCAGTGTTCAGCACACGTAGTGAGGTGGCAGAGACGATGGCCTTTACATCGTGAAACTTCTCTGCAGCGGTGATAATAAGGGTCTGCTGAAGAGCTTGGCTTCTGACGCACCTGCTTCAAAACACTGAGGTGAGCAATGCTCAGAAATGGCACGCCTGGCTTTCAGCTCAGGTAAAGACAACAGAATGAAGGAATGAAGATGCTGATTATGTGGAGGTTCGAAATGCTGCCGATATCAGCTGACTGTGCAGGGAAGAGAAGTGATCACATTACGAGGTCAATCACAGAGTAGATTGCACATGCTGCCACCTGTGCGACAGATTGTTGTAACAACATGAATCATAATATAAACTCAAAAAATGCAAATTCTAGTTTTTACATGATCTTATTTCTTTGAAATGTTTGCGTGCATGGAGTGAAACCTGCGAGTGATCAGGATGACACGTCGAGCTACGTCGTCACACATCAAACATGCCCTCCCAGCTCACGGGTCTAATGAAGTGCCGGTGCTCTGCATCCACCTGTACGCTCGATTCACTCAACGCTCACAAATTTCTGCCATATTAGTTTGAAGTGAGGAGTCAGAGCCTTGATGACAAACTAAAACTATTTTCTGCTGCTGTAATAAATCATCTCAAACATGAGCTGTTGGCTGACGATGTGTTCACACACCAATCGTTAGAAATCCTCTAACTGAACTTCCTCATTAACATAAACGGCCCAACTAAATACAGTATCTCATTATAGAACATTGTTCCTCATATAGTCTTTATTGCTCAGCAGATTACCCCCCGCCACATATGATAAGACTCTGAGGTTATAGTGTAAGGTAATACGCAAACAACAACGAGGACCCACAAATCCCTACAACACAGACACACACTGCGTCTGGCTCTTTAAATGGAACAATTTATTCTAATCCCCCAGAGACACTGAGGGCCAAACAAATACAACAAAACACAATAAATATGTATTTCTCCTCAAACAGTGGGACGCTGTGACTTAGTGGAAGATGTGGGGGTGAGGAGGCACAAAGAAAGACTGAGATATGGGTTTTACATTCAGCTCTAAATCCTGTTTTTGTTTCTTTAAATATTGTTGCTGGTTGTTTTTTCATTCAGTCAGAGTTTGATTCAAGGAAGAAAACAATGATATAATCGACAAAATAAGAACATTTTATTTGTTTATATGTTATGTAGGAAGAAGACGGCGTGTTCTTCCCTCATATTTATGCGTGTGTGGTACTGAGGCAGGTTATTGGCTGCTAGTTGGATGGGACCGGTCTCTTCCGGGGATCCTTGGGGATTAAGAGTGTCCAGCTTTCAGTTAGCCATTCCGGGTGTCTCTCATCAATTAGCAGCTGGTTCAGCAAAAGCATTAGAATGTCATTCAGACTGAAGAAGTGTAGTCGGATGATAACAAAGAGAGAGATGGTAGTCAGAACTGAGGGCTCGAACTACCAGAAGGCAACATTGCAGACATAGAGGACAACTACAAGCACCTGGGATCCCACAGGCAAATGGGAACCATGAAGAGTGGCTGATATCCAGAAATCCTACCAGTGGCTGGACAAAGCTGGACTGAAAGACAGCACAGAGGCACTAATCATGGCAGCACAAGAACAAGCTCTGAGCACAAGATCCATAGAGGCTGGGGTCTATCACACCAGGCAAGACCCCAGGTGCAGGCTGTGTAAAGATGCCCCAGAGACAATCCAGCACGTATAACAGCAGGGTGCAAGATGCTAGCAGGCAAGGCATACATGGAACGCCATAACCAAGTGGCCGGCATAGTGTACAGGAACATCTGTGCCGAGTATAATCTGGAAGTCCCGAGGTCAAAATGCTAAGATCCTGTGTGAGTTCCAAATACAGACTGACAAAATAGCATTGTAGCAATAGATGTAGTGATCCGAATGATAGCAACATCAGTCAGAAGGAACACAAGTAGCTGGAGAAGTACCAAGGGTTCAAAGAAGAGGCACTCACCAAACTAGGCGAGTGGCTCCAGCAGATCCCAGGAACAACATCCAAGATCTCTGTCCAGAAGAGCAGAGTCCTAGGAACAGCAAAGACACTGCACAGAACCCTCAAGCTTCCAAGCCTCAGGCAGAGGACCTGAGCTTCAAGGATAAAAGACCGCCCACATCAGCAAGAGGGGAATTTTTATCCACCGAAGTTATTTGTAACTATCCCTTTGGGTGGCAGCAGGAACAAGTGAATGAATCATACACATATGACAAAGACTGTTCACTAAGAGGAGGAGAAACACACACACACGGCTGAATTATTAATTTATCGCTGCATCAATATGAAAGAGGGAAGATAAACAATGCAGATGCAATCAGAAGACGTCCTGACCTATCCAAACTCCTCCCAGCACACAGATGTGGGTACTTGCATGCATATGCAGACATAAGCTGCTGTACTGCACATTTATGTACGCATGCATGCACGTGTGGGCTTGCAGTAACCCACACACACCCACACACACATGCACTTTATGGAAATCCATTACTATTTCCACACCACTGACATTCAGTCTAAATATAAACATACTGTACAGGCAGAAGAGTCTCAGCTCAAGCACAGACAGCACTCACAGCCAGGACGACCTTTGCTTATCAAAGGAAATTTGTCCAAAGACACGTTAATAAAAATCACATATTGAGGCCGCTACCACATCACTGCACCGCAGATACACTTCATGAGGAAGGGAAAGAACAGATTTTTCACCTGTCAGGAGATCCAAACTGGAATCTTACTGCCTACTTTCACTTTCCTGCCTCCATCAGGGACTTGGAAATGCGTCAGTCATGAGGATTTTCTCAATATCTGATAAGAACAGGACAATATAGTAATTTTCTACTTCTATCTCCTACTGCTTAGTCTCCTTCCCCTGATGTACTGAGACCTTTTAGTTTAGTCTTTTTTTTACTAGATCCATCACTGTGTTATGAGCTTACTATCCATAAAGCGTTAACAGGAATCAACCACTGTGTCTATAGATTTATTTTTATGTGAGAAAAGATGAATCAGGTGTATAAAAGTTGGAGATAACCTCGCGTCAGTCCCATGTTTGCGCACTCCTATTTCTAAAGTCTGGTGAGTCGCTCGCTGTCTTGGACCAGAGGCTGGAG